GAGAGAGAGAGAGAGGAGAGGAGAGAGAGAGAGAGAGGAGAGAGAGAGAGGAGAGAGGAGAGCGAGAGAGAGAGAGAGAGAGAGAAACAGAGATCACGAAAGAGGTAGAAAATGAGGTATATATATATATATAGAGAGAGAGAGAGAGAGAGAGAGAGGAGAGAGAGAGAGAGAGAGAGAGAGAGAGAGAGAGAGAGAGAGAAAGAGAGAGAGAGATCAAGAAAGAGGTTTAAAAAGAGGTAGCGAAAGAGCGAGAGAGCGTCCCCGCCTATCCCCTCATCAATCCCGTCGTCCCCCGCTGTCAATGCCGCCGTCGCCAATTCCCCGTCAATTCCGTCGCGAATCCCGTCGCCATTCCCCCGTCAATCCCGTCGCCATTCCACCCGTCAATCACGTCGCCATTCCACCCGTCAATCCCGTCGCCATTCCCCCGTCAATCCCGTCACCATTCCACCTGTGAATCACGTCGCCATCCCCCTTGTCAATCCCGTCGCCATCCCCCCCGTCAATTCCGTCACCATTTCCCCCGTCAATCCCGTTGCTATTTCCTCCGTCAAACACGAGATTGAAACCCCTTACTAAAAGAGACGGAAAAACAAATCTAAAAATAGATAAGTGAACACATAGAACGACTTACCTTGGGTAGGAAACTGGTGGCGAGGTGGCGTGACTGAAACCTCAACGTGAGAGGCTGGGGACGAGGCGAGAAAAAGAAAAAAACCCTAGGGAGCATTCTGATTCGTCGCAAAGAACAAGGCAATTCAAAATTAAATCAACTCTGTTCATGTGTTAGGGTAGCACAAAAGGTTAATCCTTTCGGAAGTCTGGTTCGACTCTCATGGGCCTATTTTGCATTCCCCGATTTCCGAGCTGGCTCTGTCAAGTCTGGAAGAATTATGTTGTTGGGCTATTAAAACATCAGATGTACAGTTATCAGAAACAAGGATGTATATTAGCAAAATATAATAAGACTTGATGCAAAATTGTAAATTAATATCACATCAAATGATAATAGTCATAATCTCGATGTAAAATGCAAAATAACATTATTTAATGTGTCAAACCGGCAAAGATAGTTCCGCAACCCTAAGACGATTTAGTCGACACTTGTTTTTTTGGGGGGGGTCAGCTCAGAGTGCCTTTTTTTGAAACTTTAGCCCTGCTTTAGACCCTTGTCTCAGTGGCTGGACTAGTAGTGTCGCCCTGAGCTGTTTGTTCAGGACCTGCCCCTATGCAGTCTAGGGGGTGTGTCAAACATATCTATAACTCATGTTTGTATAGACTGTATAGGGTCACCTCTTAGAGGGTACAACACTCTTAGGTATATACCCTTGTTCTCTCATTCTAAACTCACTTCTTCAGTTCTAAGAACGCGTTCGAATATTTCACATCTACAGGGGAGGAGCATCATCTACAAATGGCTCAAGCAACTGATCGGCTTCCGAGGGTGCAGATGATTCCACAGTGACGGACGAGTCAGCTGTCTCCACCACTCCATCGTCTTGGTTGTAGCTCGTAACGGCATAAAGTGATGAAACGATCTGCGTAAAAAGAGGGCCAGGAAGGTCAGAAGTGATCATGCCTAGTCAGCAGAGCAGACTGGAAAGCTCAATGCGTCACAAGAACTGAGCACCAAAAGTACAACATGCAGGATTGCGCGTCATTGGGAGCAGCAAGGGGAGAGAGAGGGGGAGAGGGAAGAAGTAAAAAACACAGTCTGGGGCATGGTTGGTTGGTCAAAGAGCTTCGGTCGAGCCATCAAGATGAAGAGCCGAACGCATCGCAAATGCAAACCACAACCAAGTTCCATCCACCCACTAAGAAACGCTAGAGAGTACCAACAACTCAACGAGCGGGTAAAACAAAGTGGCAAGGGGTCCTGGAGACGAGAAGGAAGCAAGGGTAGCTGAGCCCATAGCTGAGAGCCCTTCACTGAGCCGAGATACGAATGCAGCCTTGTTACATAGCATGGGGATAGTTCACATGCGTCAGAGCTGTCAGTGAGGACAAGGTTCACTGAAGGATGCTTGGGGAAAGCTCTTGAGTGCATACTGAACCCACAGCTGAGCCCTTGGCTGAGTCAAGTTACAAATGCAGTTTTGGCACATCGCATGGACATGGATCACTTTCACATGCTTCAGACAGATCAGGCAGACATGCAGACACGGCTCACTGAAGTGTGCTTGGGGAAAGCTCTCAAGTGCATACTGAACCCATAGCTGAGCCCTTGGCTGATTGGAGTTACAAATGTAGTTGTGACACATCGCATGGAGATGGATCACATTCACATGCCTCGGAAAGATCAATCAGGACATGCAGACACGGCTCACTGGAGGGTGCTAGGGGGAAGTGAGGGTAGCTGAGCCCTTACCTGAGCCATTCGCTGAGTCCTAAAATTAAGATGTGAACTTGAGACATGTCTCAAGGATCACATGCTGCAGACCGCTCAATCAGGACATGGGCACACGGCTCACTGAAGAGACGAGAGGGAAGTGAGGGCAGCTGAGCCCGAGAGGCTAGAATAAGGGTGTGACCTCGCGGCATGGCATGGGGATGGATGGATAACATGCAGTCCAGTCCAGACCTCAGAATCGGGGCATGCAGGCACGGCTCACTGGAGAGCGTTCACGGGGGGATATTGAACTGCACGCGGGGCCCAGGTCTCTCAACGTGTCAGAGTCTGTAAGATTTCTTTCACATGTTGTCTCTTGAAGATGTTTCCCATATACCCCCAAGAATCTTAAAGTGAACGGAGGATACTCAAGTGCTCGTCGCCGGGCATGGCCGGCTGGTAATGAGACCGGTAAGATCGACGGGGCACCGGGACTCACAACGAGGACGATGCCGACCACCAGGAGGTACTAGGCGACAAACCCCAGCAGGTCCCTCTGCAACCCTTCCCAAGGGCTGTGTCATTGACGGTACAGGGGATGTATAAGGAGAAATAGAGCCGGTACTCACCGCAAGGACGATGCCGAACACCCACAGGTACTCGGCGACAAACCCAAGAAGGTCCCACTGCGACCCTTCCCAGAAGTCGGGCTCGTCCCCGGGCATGGGCGGCCGATAGTCGCGGCCGGCTAGCGGGTCGTCCGTTCTGAAGACCACGGCGCCCGGCGCCTTTTTCATGCTCGCCTTCCCGCCGGCTGTGAGGAGGAACACAGATAGAGGGGAAGATGAAAAGAATCTTGCTCTATCTGACCGGCTAGCGGGCCGTTCGTTCGGAAGTCCACGGCGCCTGGCACCTTCTTCGTGCTCGCCTTTCCCCCGGCTGCGAAGTGGAATACCAAAGTCAGGGGAAAGACATAGACGGATTGGCCAGATTGCTATTCGACCGGCCAGCGGGTCGCCCGTTCTGAAGACCACGGCGTCCGGCGTCTTCTTCATGCTCGCCTTTCCCCCGGCTGCTACGTCAAACGCACGCAGGGAGGGATAGTCCAATGTACTGCCCTGATCAGCCAGCTATCGGTTCGGCCGTTCTGAGCACGTCGGCGGGACCAGCAAGCGACTGCCAAGCGCCAAGCGCCATGCGCGGATGGTTGATTACACGGCTGCTAAAGGCACTACACGCCGAGGAACGGTGGAGTGTAAATACCGGTTTATGCGGGTTTTAAACGGTTTACTGTCGTGTAAGGGCGTGTTTTTAGTAGGTGTCATCCCGAGAAAGTGTCATCCGAGAATGCTGGAAACCCATCACAACCGTTATTTCAAAACTTCAACGGTTGCGATGGGTTTCCAACATTCTCGGATGACACTTTCTCGGGATGACACCTACTAGAAACATGCCCTAAATGTAAGCCGCTTCGGAAACACGAGCCACTAACTACAGGCTACTTATGGCGGGTTTGCAGTGCGACCACTCTAACGCTCACGCTGGCGGCCATATCGGAGCCATTGACTCGCATGAGAAGGACATACTCGGATCTGCACGCGGCGATCTACAGAATGAAGATGAATCGCTGCCTACACACACAGTAGAATTCTCTATATGAGGCATCTCAGTACTGACATTCGGCTAACATACTCCAATCTGCAGATGCAGCTGAACTGCTGCCTGATACACACACGGACGACCACTAGTGCTCCTGCTAACCACTCCGAGCCATTGACCCCCATGACCGGGACCGTGTACGACCTGCATTCGATCTACGGAATGGATATTAACTGCAGTCTGGTACGCAGATATCCAGCACTCTGAAATGAACCACTCACGCCGGGATTGCGACGCGACCACTCTAGCGCCCGAGCTGACGGTCAGGTCCGAGCCATTGACTCGCATGAGCATCGCCCTGTCCGATCTACAGAATGCGGACGAGCCGCTGCCCGATAGGCACACGGACGGCACGGATGCTCTTGCGAGACAAGCCGCTTGCGAGGCCATGTCGATTAGTTACGGAACGAAGTCCGAAATGCAGACCCTGAACAGAGTAAAATCGGCTTCGAGACTGGAGCTCCTAAGTACCGAGTCCTGGCTGCTGATACCTGAAGTACTGATGTATTATGGAGCCAAGGGTAAATGGTAACCGGGTGACGCTAATATCAGGGGAGCGGAGCAGGAACGTTGGCAGGCAGAGCAGTGAGGGAGCCCACCAGCAGGACCCTGAGGATTAACGATATCCAACGAAAATATTTTTAGGCGAAATTTGATCGGCGAAGTTCAGTGCGAAGAACCGAGGTGGTGATCAATGATCACTGATCCCCCGCCCCTCACTCCTAGCAAGGGGCAATCACGGGAGCCAATCAGCAAGGCGGCCACTCAGGCAAATCCAGTCAGCAGCTCCTTACACGTGGATGCGCCGTGATGGCCGTGCTCTTGCCAGCGTGTGCTTGAGCATGTATTCCGTAAGACTTTTAGAGGTGCATTTACCCTATAAAAATACATGTACAAAACAGTTATGTACAACTAACAACACATTTTCATGTAGCAGGACTTGGATCTCCTTTTGCATAACACTTTAAGTGAAGGGAAGTTCCTGAAGGCGTGCGTTCGCAGTGCCAATTAGCATTCACGGCGCAACTGTTACAAAAGGTGGAAGTCGGATGGAATCTTTTGCAACTTCCCGCTTCTAATGCGTCACCCTCCTTGACCGAGAAGGGGGCGAAATGGCACGAGGAGAGAGGATGGGAGGAAGAGGGGGAGAGGGCTCCCTTGTAGATGGTGATTCGATGGGTGGGAGGGGAGTGGCATTGGATGAAGAGTTATGATGTGATGACATGAAGACTGCTGATTGGGTGAGAGCTGAGAGGGGATCGCATGTGGAGGGGGAGAAAGGGGTAGAGCAAGGGTTATGAGCACCCGCCAATGTGAGGGGGAAGATATGCAGATGGGGAAATGAGGCAGTAGCAGGGAGAGGTGTGGGGAGTGAAATGCAAGAAGAGGGTTTACGGAGAGGACGATGAAAGGGCAGACTGAAACGTAGACTGAAATGGATGTGGTAGAGACATGACCTCACGCATGTGATAGGCATGAGAGATGTGGGGCATACATGTGAGGTGTGCAGTATGGATGTGTGATGTGAGGCATGAGAGATGTGAAGCATACATGAGAGATGTGAAGCATACATGTGAGTGGTGTGGGGCACACCTGTGAGATGTGGGGCTTGAGAAATTTGGGGCATACATGCAAGAGTGGGCAGTAAAGGCAGGCCATGATGATGCTGATGCTGCTGCTGCTGTTGTTGCTGGGCGGCATCATTTGTCCCATCTGAGTGCTGTTCCCCGCACACGTTGCGGAAGCGGAGGTGCCTCTTCATTGTGTCGATGCGGGTCTGATGCGGATGGAGGGGGTGGGGTGGGACGGGAGGAGGAGGGGGGGGTTGGGGGTGTGATGTGGACCCGTGTGCAATAGCTGCATGTATGCAACGGAAAGAGGAGATGATAAGAAGCGTGCAGAGGTGGCTCCTCATTGACTCCATGCAGGTCTGATGCAGAAAGATGTGGAGGGGGGGATATGGACACGTGTGCAATAGCGGCATTCATGCAAAGGAAATACGAGATGAGATGAAGCATGCGGAGGTGCCTCTCTTCTTCGTCTTGATGCGGGTCTAATGCGGATCAGGCGGAGGGGGGAGAGGAGGGGGGGTGTGGACACGTGTGCTGCATTCATGCAACGGAAAGAGGAGATGATATGAGGCATGGGGAGCCCCCATTGTCTCAATGCGCATCTGGTAGGGGCACGGGGGGGAAGGAATGTGGGGGGGGGAGAAGTGGACAAGAGTGCAATAGTGGCATGCATGCAGCGGAAAGCGGAGATGAAATGAAGCTTGCAGAGGTGCTGATGGGGTTGTCGTTGCCAACGAAAGCCGAAACTTGGGCGATTCTGTTCTGATGGGGGTGAAGCCGAAACTAGGGCAACTTGATGTCAGATATGCAGTGCAAGTGGACAGGCAGCCTGTAACGACAGGAGTTCGGTGGAGGAGGGCGGAAATATATAGAAATATATACTCATAAATATCTATATATATTTACACACATATGGAACACAAATGTGCTTGCATCTTTGAGCATATGGATAGAAGGTGCAGAGACATACATGTATTCGACCAAGCGAGGTGTTGAGTGCGCGCACTCTCCTCTGCATGGAAGCGTGGTGGATGGGTTGGCAGAAGTCCCCAGAAGGGAGAACACAGACATGAGGGAGAAACACGTACATGTATTCGACCAAGCGACGTATTGAGTGCGTGCACTCTCCTCTGCATGGCAGCGATGCGAGTGGTGCAGGGCGGCATCACCGGCATGGGCAGGCCCTCTAGTATGCCGTCCAGCTCTGATGGGGTTAGGGCAGACACGGTAGACTAGACACAGGTGAAAGTCAGTAAGGGCAGCAATGCGAGTGGCGCATGGAGGAATGACTGGCATGGGCAGGCCCTCTAGTATGCCTCCAGCTCTGAAGGGCAGATGGGGACAAGCGGATAGGAAAGGTGAGGCGAAGAGGGTGTATACGAGGAATGGCAGCAACGTGAGTGGTGGATGACGGCTTTGCTGGCATTGCAATGCCCTCCAGTTTGCCATCCAGCTCTGATTGGGTTGGTGTGTGTACGGAACGGACAGAGCACACAGAGAGTTGACGAGAGACTAAAGGCGAGCACGGTGGCTGTTCGAGTGGTGGATGGTGGTATTGCTGGCATTGCCAGCCCCTCCAGTATGCCATCCAGCTCTGATTGGGCTGGAGTGTGACGGAGCACACAGAGAAGATGGTCAAAAGGAGAGCACGGATGGCTGTGCGAGTGGTGCATGGTGGCATTGCTGGTATGGGCAGGGGTCCTCCAGTATCCGTCTATAGGCAGCGAGAGAGTACAACGGAATCACTGCTATGGGCAAGCCGGCCCTCTATAGTATGTCGTTTAACTCTGAGGGTAGGTAGGTTGTGAACGAGTGTAACGGGTATATGAGGGCACGACAGCAATGTGACATCCATAGGGTGCAGCATCACAAGCATCGGCAGGCAGGCCCTCTAGCACGCTGACTATCTCTGCAAAACGAGGCACATAGGGAGGATAGGGGACGAGAGAAAGGGAGGCAATGGGTTTGAGGCATGGAGGCATCACTGGCGTGGGCAGGCCCTCTAACACACCGTCTAGCTCTGAAATGCAAGGGGCATAAGGTTGATAGGGGAAGAGAGCAAGGGTGGCAAGGCAATGCGTTCGCTGTGTGGCGGCATGAATGTTATGGGCACACGCTCTAACATGCCAGTGAGCTTTGCAAGGTGGATAGTGGGGTAGATAAAATAAGGGGAAGAACAGTGGGAATGCAAGTGGTGCGTGGTGGAGGCACGGCCAGCATGGGCAGGCTCTCCAACACCCACCATGCCGGCATGGATCTAGTTTTGATATGTGGACAGTGACCAAGTGTACGCATGGAGGTATGCATGGAGGTCAAGGTTCAAAAGTACGGTTTCTTGAAAATACGGGTTGAATTTTACGACTGTTTTTTTCGGGCTTTTTGCCAAAAAAACGACGTTTTCTTTATAGACCTTTTTTCTCTGAGAAAAAAAAACTTCAGAAAACGGCCTTGACATCAGCAATAACGACCCAACTACAGGTATGCTCATGAATCCTCCGCTTTGGGCTCCTCCTACTACCTAGTACTTACTACTACTAGTCCTAATTCCTACTCCTCTGAGGCCTGTAGCCTCTCCTACTACTACTACTACTACTACTCCGACCGGATTTTTGGTATTATACGACCGTATCATTATAAACCGTATCATACGGGAGAATCCTAAAAAAAACGACCGTTTTTTGAACCTTGATGGAGGTATGCATGGACAGGGTAGATACGCCAAATGGAGCATGGGTAAGAATGCATGCGGCAATGCGCGTGTCGCGGGAATTTGATCATGAGTATAGAGAGAAGTCCGACACCCACCGACCCACCCACCCTCGCACCAACCCACCCACTCAACTACTCACCTACTCACCCACTCACCCACTCACCCACTCACCCTCTCATGGTACCAACCCACCCACTCACCCACTCATGGTACCCACCCACCTGCTGTAAGCTTCCCCAGAGCAGCGTACAGCCTCTCCTGGCCGCTGGGGCAGGTCGATTTGACGCCAGGGCAGGTCGATGAATAGCATCCTAGAACTCACCGCACCAGTTCACCCACCTGCACCAGCATCCACCTGCACCAGTACCCACCTGCACCAGTACCCACCTGCACCAGTACTCACCTGCACCAGCACCCACATGCACCAGTACTATCCACCTACCTGCAGCCAGTCGCCCCAGAGCAGCATCAGGCCTCTCCTGGCTAGCTGTGATGGCTGGTAGATGACTAGGTACTAAATCACGATTCAAACCGCATCACGTCTCTCCTGGCAGGCACCAACCTACACCAGTGCCAACCTACATGAATACCCTCCTATGCCAGTACCCACCTGTGCCAGGACCCACCTGCGCCAGTACCCACCTGCACCAAGACACCCACTATCTGCTACCAGTCTCCCCAGAGCCGCGGCTAGCCTCTCCCGGCTGTCAGAGCTGGTCGATGACTGGCTGTTCATACACAAGATGAGTCGCATCACGAGTCTCCTGGTCGATGACCGCCTATTTAAGCCAACGGTTCAAGTCGAATCACGTGTATCCTGGTACTCACCTTCGTCACTACCCACCTGCACCAGCACCCACCTGCACCAAGACACCCACCTAACAGAAGCCAGTCTCCCTAGAGCCGCGTCTAGCCTCGCCTGGCTGTGGAGACTGCATAAACAACGATGATATAAGCCGCAATAAGTGTCTCCTGGTACCCACCTGCACCGGTCAAGTCATCTATGTGTTACCCACCTATACCAGTACCTAACTGCACCAGTACCCACCGGCACCAGTACCCACCTGCACCAGTACCCACCTGCACCAGTACCCACCTACCAGCAGCCAGTCTCCCCAGAGCCGCGTCTAGCCTCTCCTGGCTATGAAGGGCAGCTGCCACGTGGCCTCCACACGCCTGCACTGCCGCCCCCACCCCTGCTGACAGCCTGCTTGCCACCACTGCTACCCGATCCTCCTCCTGTTGTTCCTCCTGCTCTCCCTTCGGCTGTTCCTTTTGTTCCTGCTGCTGCTGCTGCTGCTGCTGCTGTTCCTGCTGCTGCTGCTGCTGCTGCTGCTGCTGTTCCTGCTGATCTTGCTGCTGCTGATGTTGTTGCTGCTGCTGGTGATGTTGAGACTGTTGTTGATGTTGCTGCTGCTGCTGGTTGTTGCTTTCAGAAGGCCTTCTTTCGTCACCTCCTCTATCCTCTACTCCCTCCTGTCTTCTACCTCCCCCTCCCTCCTCCCCTCTATTCCCCCCTCCCCCGTCTCCTCTGTCTCCTCTTCCTTCCTCTCCTCCATTCCCCCCACCCTCATCCCGCCTACCCTCACCCCCATTCCACCCTCCCTGTGGTTCCAATCTGCTCAAATTCCCCACCATCGGCATTGCTGCTCCTCTCAAGCCGGCTCGTCACTAGGATGAGATGGGACTCGGCCAGGGGTATTGATGTTGCGGGAGCACCAGACGGAGAGAGCGACAGGTGGTTGGATGGGAAGGTGATTGGATGGGTCTCAGACGTGGTGGGACGGAGCAGTCACCGCGAGAGTGACGGATGCTCTGAAGTTTGCTGAGTGAACCACGTTTTCAAGCTTGCTGCCGTCGTTTTCTCGCAGCACAGCTCTCACGACACTCGCAATAACATCGCGTTACTGTAGTGTTACTATCGCGTCAGTCGGTAACATCGCGTTAGTCGTTACTATCGCGTCACTACTATCGCGTCACTACTATCGCGTCGCTCGTAGAACGAACGGTGATGGCAATGAGCGATGAGCTGAAGGGGCGAGTAACGACGAGCGACGAGCGGCGAGCGGCAAGCGATGAGCGATGATGACCGACGAGCATGGCCGATGAAGATAACAGAAATCGAACGCGAATCAAACGTCGGCGACTCGACTGCGTCACGAAGGCAACGGTGCGAGGCGTAAGTTGTTCTGGAACCGCGAGCACTTCCTCAAGTAACGATTCGCGATGACTGACTCCTCGTAATCCTCCACGTTCGCGAGAAGCAAGGAAACATGTGAGCGAATCTCCTGCAACAGTAACATCGCCATGGCTGAGCCGACTCGCGAGTAGTTGGCACCACACCCCGTGGTTCCCGATGGTTGGGGATTTCAACAAGCGATATGCTGTGCATCTACACATATATATTGAATATTGAGAATTTACTCATGCAAACCATATTGAATATATTGAACATTGAATAGCGAGATATACACTTATATTACCATGCACTTGCGCCTTCTAAACAAGCAGCAAAGCGAAACCAGCAACCACGGTGATGGCAGTGACAGAACCGGCAGGTGACGCAAGGTAGCCTGTCAGGGGAGAAGAATGGCAAGAAACGACCATTATTTTTTCCGTTATAATCAGACGGCAGATGAGACAGAAGATTAGGAAAAAAAATGGCAGAGACTAGACAGAGGACCCTAGAACAACGGAAGAAAAGGGGGAGCGTAAAACAGGGGAGAAAGTCACCGTACCAGCTGACTTGCCCCCAGTGGGGATGACAGTGACAGTGCCATTACTCCACACAGTCACGTCTCCCACAGTCATCGACCCATCCGCGTTACGAACAGGCGTGAGAGTTTTGCCACTGGCATCGACAAAGGTGCCATTCGGGTAGAAGGTCGTGGTGCCGATAACAGTGCTTCCGTCGGGCCGTGTGGAGCTGATCACGCCGTTGGGACCAACAACCGTGCCATTAGGGTACGATGTGTACGCTCCTAGGGTTTCAGATCCATCTGCGTTCTTGGTGGGAGTTACAACGGCACCGCTGGCGTCCACAGCCGTTCCGTTCGCGTACTCTGTTTACCCGCCGAACAAAACGGATGGGGTGATCGCTGCGACGCGAGGGGTGAGCGTGCTTGTCGCAACGGCAGCGGTGAGAAGAAGCACGAGGAGGGGAGAGGGGCGTGAGACTAAGAGGAGCGTCATGACGGATTAATAGTTTTGAAGAAGTACAGCGCGAAACGTTTGAGAACTATGAGTTACCAGAACTACTCGACAGATTCCGCAGCTAACTGGGAGCTTCAAGTGACTCACGAGTACATGGACATTGTTCCCCAGCCACCCCTGCCCCCTGTACAATTGTAACAGGCCTGGAAAGGGGTTTGACTGGGAGCTTGACTCGTAAACACTGACACAACATAAAAACCTCGAGCGAGTCCAAGGGCGTGGTACATCAAGAGTGGAGGGAAACGCCGTTCGAACAGACTTCGAAATGTTTAACACGGTATTGCTAGTTTTCTTAATATACAGCTCGGTAAAATGTGGTGACCATTCGGATTCAGCCGTTCGAACAGCCGCTGCAGCAATACCTATAGAGGGCGTGGTACTTGGGTTAGCCTTGCCTCGAGACCGCAACCAGGATCGCACAACTGGCAGGTAAACCCGACCGGTCCAACGAAACCCAACTTGTACACGCCATGCGAGTTTCGGCGATCCTGGTATCCAGGCTCGGATCGGCAACAGAGGAGCTCTTGGAACTGAAGAATTTTTGAATAGAGAGAGAGTACAAGGGTATATACCTAAGAGTGTTGTACCCTCTTAGAGGTGGCCCTATACAGTCTATACAAACATGAGTCATACATGTGTTTGACACACCCCCTAGACTGCATAGGGGCAAGTCCTGAACAAGCAGCCTCAGGGCGGCACTACTAGTCCAGCCACTGAGGCAAGGGTCTAAAGACCAGTCAAAAGGAGTACAGACAAGACAAGAACAAGACCAGGGCGGCACTACTAGTCCAGCCACTAGGAGAGGCCACAAGTCCAGTCTGAGTACATACATAGATATATATAGGACTGTACAAGTCAAGGTCCTAGCAAGTGAGAGGCTACAGGAACTAGACCAAGCTGTACACAGTGCCGCTGATGATCTTTAGGCGCAAGCGCCTTCGTAAAGATATCATCTGTGTTGGCACGAGAGACCAAGTGAAGTACGCGGGCCTGTTGGCGCTTCTGTAGCTCGCGCAGGAGGAAGTACCGCAGTTGGATGTGCTTCGCTCTGCCCTCAAGCCGAGGCTCCTGACACAGGAGGATCATGGCCATGTTGTCAGCGTACAGGACCGGGGCAGAGCTAGGCCGCTCACCTAAGTCAGTGAGCAAGAAGGTCAGCCAGCGGAGCTCCTGTGCCGCCATGGCACCGGCGTAAATCTCGGCCTCACAGCTGGATTGGGCAACAGACGAGGAGCGAGTAGCTCTCCACGAGACGGCACCTGACCCAAGGCTGAAGCAGTAGCCCTGGGAAGACCTGAGTGTCTCGGCGTCCTCTGCCCAAGAAGCGTCTGTGTGTCCAGTAAGGACCACTGGCCTGCGTCCTCCTAGCACTAACCCCATGCCCGATGTACTTGCTAGATAACGCAAAACCCTCTTAGCGGCAGACCAGTGGTGCGGTCGGTATCTGCTTGTGGCCACAAAGCGAGCCAGGATGCTGAGAGGGTATGCGAGATCTTGTCGAGTGCAAGTCATCTGGTACATGAGACAACCCACCAGCTCTGCGTAAGGACCACTAGGCTCTGCTGACTCCTCAGGAACAGGAGTAAAGAGTCTGTGATCTAGCGGCAGAGGGGTGGGCTGTGCAGAGGAGAACTGAAGGCCGAACCTCTGAAGGACCTGGCGCACCAAGTGTGACTGAGTCAAGGTGATGGTGCGCGCTGCTCTGTCTCTGGAGATCTGCAAGCCAAGGTAACGGCGCAGTTCTCCAAGGTCAGTACAAGTGTGTCTCTTCAGCAGCTCTGCCTTCACGGAGGCCAGTGCGTCCCTGTCTGCTGTGGCGAAGACCAGGTCGTATACGTAGACAAGGATGTAGAACGGAGTCTGGCCAGCACGAACGAAGAGTGAGGGGTCTGCAGAGGACGGAAAGAACTGCAGGTCAGCAAGGGTAGCACGCAGCGTGTCGTGCCACTTACGGGGAGCCTGCCGCAGGCCGTAGACGGGGCGCCGCAGGAGCCACTGGGTCCCAGGAGGGAAGGTGCCAGTAAAGCCCTGAGGGCGACGCAAGTAGACCTGCTCGTGTAGGCTACCCTGAAGGAAGGCAGTGGAGAAGTCAAGGGAGTGAAGCTCGTAGTCACGCTGAGCTGCTACGTGTAGGAGAACCCGAAGAGTAGTCATCTTCGGGGTCGGAGCGAAGGTCTGGAAGAAGTCCACCCCCTCACGCTGACTGAAACCTCTGGCCACGTAGCACGCCTTGAAGACAGGCGGCTCTCCAAGAGGGCGCTTCACCTTGAAGAGCCAGCGGCCATCGACTACGTTCACCCCAGGTGGGGGAACTGCGTCGACGTAGGTGCCGGTGGATCTCCAAGATGCCATCTCCTGCTCCATGGCAGCTATCCACTGGGAGGCCCAGGGTCCCGAGGTCGCCTCAGTGTAAGTGCGAGGGGTCGGGATGTCGAAAGCGTCTGGGTCACCCTCGGGGACTAGCAGCATGGAACAGAGATGGGGAGCAGCCTCGGACAGGAAAGCAAGCTCGAACTGGCGGTCCTCCAGGACGTCACTGCCGAGGGCAGGAGCACCCCCGACAGACGGAGGACAGGCAGGGTCAGAGACCAGAGCTGTGGCATAGTCAAGGCGGCGGGTAGAGGCGAAGTCAGCGACCGCAGCGACAAGGGCGTCAAGGCTTGAAACCAGAACAGACGGGTCGGTAACGAGAGAGGCAAGGACCCGAGGAACAAGAGGACGAGCGGCATGCAGGTAGTCAGACAGAGGGGGGGGAGCAACGACATGGGAGGACAGAGGGGGAGACGGGAGAAGTGGAGGACGAGACGCGTGGGAACGAAGGAACATAGGGTGAGAGCGCGAGACAGGGGAGACAGGTCGAGCACGGGAGGGACGGCGAGACCAGACGTGAGACGGAGGAATCGGGTCAGGAGAGAGAGGAGGGGACACAAGGCGGGAACGAGTGGGAAGACGAGCCGGGGACGAGACCGGCGGCGAGAACACAGGGCCGTAGACAGGAAGAGGAGGAGACGGCAGGGGAGGAACAGACGCAGGGTCAGGGGACGAGAGGCCGAGCAAGCGAAGGGCTGACACCGGCGGGGACTGCGGCTGCGGCGGCACAACACCGACACCTGGACCACACGCTGCTCCGCGGCTACCTCCGGAACACTCCACTCCTGCATCCCAAGAAGGAACACCCCCAGAGCCCAAAACCCCACGAGCACTGGTACCACCCCCAGGGCCACCGGGACTAGCACCCACGCCAACACCAGCACCCCCAGAGTCAGCGAACTGCTGCTGCGACGGCGGCGGCGGCGGCAGCTGCAACGATGGGTGCGGCGGCGGAGGTAACGGCGGCTGCAGAGGCGGTGGAGGAGGAGACGCCTGGGGAGAGGCAGACGGCGAGGACTGCACCGCAGGACCATCAGAGTCAGAAGACTCCTCGACCGGGACAACCGACAGGAGAGGGGTGACGTGGGACACACCAGAGGGGGCAGGACGGGGAGGGGGAGGGGGGGGGGCAGGGACCACCGGGGAAGGAGGGACCAGGAACAGGGGGGGGGTAACCGAGGAAGTGCCTGTCGGATGCGTCAAGGGGGAAACCGAGGAAGACGCAGGGAAGGGTGCGGGCAGTGAGCTTGTCCGTGCCAGAGGCACGAACGTGAGCAAGGCAGCCCCAGACGTGGAACGCAGACGCGTCACCAGGGTACCCGGTCCAAAGGAGGGTCGGCGAAACCTGCGGCTGTTGGGGGTGCGGCCACAGGTTAAGCTGGTGAGCAGCGTAGCGCACGGCGAACGGCCACAGAAAATGGGGTGCACCGGCATGGATCATGGAGGTGCGAGCCACCTCCATGACCAAACTGATGTGTCACTCAGCGACCCCATTCTGCTGTGGGGAGTCCGGCAGGGTGAACGTCTGGGTGATGCCCTCCGCACGACAGAAGCGACCAAGGACACCTAAGGCAAACTCGCCACCACGGTCGGAGTGAAGACGCAAGACAGGGAGACCGCGGTGGACACGGGCAGAGACAAGCCAGGGGATGAGAGCGTCAGGCACGTCAGCCTTTCGCTCCAGGGGAAAGACTGTGGTGTAGCGAGTGAGGTCATCGAC